TGTGTGTGTTGTTGTTGTTGTTGTTTAGGCCCATCAGTCAGCTACATTTCAGAGCCTAGGATCAATTCAGCATCTTTTTGTTCATTCCATTTCCGCTTGTTCTGTGTTTGTTTTACTTTCAGGCGTGATCGCAGCATGTGCAGTCGCAGTCCTTGCTGCTGGCATCTCCTTTCATTACTTCAGTGATTAGGGCGAGGCAAAGAGAGTGTCCCGATCATCCGGAGAATGCTGACCAACGATTATGACTAATAAAGATGCAAACAATCCATCTGCATTTAAGACAGCAGCAGCCAGATCTGTTGCCATGCCTGTTAGGTGTGTTTCTGACTAGAATGACATCACCAGTGGCCTCGTTTAGCCCTGCTTACATTGTAGGCTCAGGCTTCCAAAAATAAAGTTAAGCGTCTCGATGGAAGCTGCATGTAACAAATTGTTTTTATCTATTTTTTTTAAATGTTCAAAACAATGATTTATTTTCACAGATTTTAGTTCTCTCGATCTGACTGACATATTCATCAGGACATTGAAACTTTGAGTAGTCAGCGTTTATGAATATCTTAGTGATAGGACAGGAGAAATTTCTCCAAAGTGTAGCAGCAATCTATTGGGTAAGTTCATACTGTAGGACCTTTTACTATACACTCAGTTTCAAAATACTGATTGAGTTCTGATCAAGGAATAGGAAACCTTTTCAGAGAGGTTTGAATCAGTAACAATTGCATAAATCATGTGCTTTCTCAGGGTAGTATATCATATCTGTTTAATATATTAAATAAAACTTTTGCTTCCAGCAGTACATTAGACTAGGTACTGTAAAACACCTAGATCTTCAATAAAATTTACCTTTGAATGCATGAAGAGACTCAAAGAATGAAGGGGAAATCTCTTAAGAACCATACCTCTGTTTTTCCTTCTGCATAAAAATGCACACATTTTGAGTTGGGAATTGTGAATACTATAGTAAGCATACTGGTGGACTGTGGTTGCCCGGATGGCAGATACCAATTACAGCACTGCCATATGCAGTTTGCCTCAGACCAGAAACAACGAGATAAATCTGAATCTGAGATGCTACCCTACCCGGGAGAGTTGAAGTGGCCCTCAGTTTATAGAACCCTATATAGCTCCTGGCAGAAGCAAGATACCGGCCCAAGATTCTCAGAGATGAAGATAAAGCAATATTATTTCATGACTAGAGATCACCAGGGACAAGTTGAAACTAGCTAGCATGAGAAAGAACCTATAGAAATAACGAACTTTGGATTACATTCTCTAGGATCTTATCACCAACATACATGAAGGATGGAACCACAGGCAGATCTAAAAAAAAAAGAAAAAAAATGGAACTGTTAGAAGTGAGAAATATGTTACTTGAAATTAAAATACAAAAACAAAAAACCTCAGACCTGTTGAATGAATATCATCTTAGACTCAGCCAAAGACACAGTGAGTAAACTGGAAGCCAGGTGTGTAGAAATGATCAAGTGCACGGCGAGGAGAAACAGGTGCTGGCGAATATAAATATTAAAGAGAAGTGGAGAGGTATGGAGGGAAGAGTTACAAGGACTAGAAAGAAGTACTGAGAGGAGAGAGGTTAGAGGAGTGGCAATATTTGAAGAGGTAACAGAATTTTCCACATTTCTTGGAAAAACATGAATTCGTAAATTCAGGAAACACAATATATCCCAGATATATATAGATAAAATTCATGCTTAAACTGAACATAATATAACTGCAAAATGCCAAACACAAGATTTTAAAAGCAATCAAAGGGGAAAAGATCATCAATGAAGGCAAGACAGTCAAGTTGGCTTCTTAATGGCAACAGTGTCCCCAAAGAAGGTAAAATAATGCCTTCAAAACTGAGGAAAATTAACCAACTTAGAAATTGTACCAAGCAAAACTGAAATAAAGACATATTCAGATGAAAAACAAGAGTTTATCATCAACAGGCCTTCGTTAAAGAAACTATGAAAGGATAATACTCAAGAACAAAATGATTTCAAAAGGATCTGAAAGTGAAGAACTAGTGAGCAAATAAAATGATAAACGTAAATCAAAAGTGTTTGTATAAAACAATCGTATTGAAAGAATTATTAATAAGCAATAAATTGCTAACAAATGTAAAACTAAATAAACATTTTTGCAACATTAATGTGGACTTTTTTTTTTTTCTAAAGATTTTATTGGGGAGTTGGGGGAGGGGAACAGACAAGTTGCTGTTGTTTTGTTCTTCAGTCTAGTCGTGGAGGATGTTGCTTCACTGGCCCAAGTTGTCACCATCATTGCGCTCTTCCTGGGTGAGGCAGATCAGTCACCGGCCTCTGGACGGCCGCTCACTGCGGCTGCTAGCCGCCCACGCTGGCTGCCGGCTATACATGGTAGCTTATGGCAGCCCACTGCAGCAGGGGACTGCAGCCTATGCCATTGCTGGCAACTCATGGCAGCCCAACTCCAGGTCGAGCTGTTGTTCAGCATCTTAGCTGTAGAAGGCAGTGTCACTGGCCCTCATATGTGGGATCTGAACCGGGGCCCTCTGGCGTCCCAAGCCAGTTCTTAACCAACGTGCCACTCGGCTGGCCCAATGTGGACTTTTAAAATAAGATATAATTGAAAAATTGGACAATAGCTTGTAAGATGGGAGGAGGGTGGATGGTTGGATGGCTCAGTTGGTTAGAGCATGTGCTCTTAACAAGGTTGCCAGTTTGACTCCCACATGGGATGGTGGACTGTGCCCCCTGCAACTAGATTGAAAGCGGTGAGGACTTGGAGCTGAGCTGCGCCCTCCAGAACTAAGATTGAAGGACAACAACTTGTCTTGGAGCTCATGGGTCCTGGAAAAACAACGTTTTCCTTCCGCAATTCCCCAACACTGTTCACTTCCACAATTCCCCAATAAAATGTTTAAAAAATAAAAAAAATAAGATGGGAGGAGGGTGATTAAAATTCAAGTGTTCTGACATGCTTTTATTAATCAGAAAATGGATTAAGATATTGTTTAACTTTAAAATTATGTTAAATATGTACAGTAAAATTTCAAGTGGAACTGCTAAGAAATAGATACAGGGTGAATCATTCCAAAGGAAAAGAAGTTTATGGGATAAGAAGTCAATAACTCAATACAAAAGAGGGAAGAAATGGTGGAATGAGGGAGAAAATTATTGGGTTGTCGGAAAAGGCGTGACGTTTTTTTTCTGTTTTTTTTTGTTGCAAAAATGCGTCATGTCTTTTCCAACAGCCCAATAGAAAGATAATAGTAAGAAGTCAAATAATAATTAAATATGAATAGCACATTAACCAACAGATTGCTTAGATTTTTTTTTAATCCAGCTATAGACAAATAGCAAAAGAAAACTTGTGTAGCTGTAGTGATACCAAATCAAAATTAGACTTTATGATATATTAAATATGGAGAAGGCTACTAAATAGTGGTAAAAAGATCAGCTCACTAGGAATATATAACAATTTTAAATTTGTATATGCTTTATAAAATGACCTCAAAATGTAGGAACTATCAGGCTAACTCAACAAATTGAACAACAGTGTGAGATTTCAACAGCTTTCAATTATTAATAAATCAAGAGGACCAAAAAAATGAGTGGCCACAGATTTGAATAATAAATATTGATTCAATGGACATTTAGAATCATCAACCATTAGAGAATATTCTTGTTAATCATTGTATATATTAGCAAAAATTGACCATGTATTAGGCATGAAGTAAGTCACAGTAAATTTCAAAAAATTAGTATTAAATGGATAATCAGAAATAAATCAGAGGTCAGTCATAAAAGTTAATTTTTCCCAATCATAAATTTATAAGTTTAATAAAACTTCATAGATGAAAGAAGAAAACATACTTAGAACTTGTGTGACATTTGGAAAATTGGATGATGCAGCAGAAACAGCACTTTGAGGGACATGGTTTTAAATGCTTAAATTCATGAAAAAGGCTAAGTGTGTAACTTAGAAAAAGACCAACAGAATGAACAATGTAGAAGTAAGAAGATACAGGCAGTCGAGAAATGAATGGATTCGAAAACAAATTCCAAAGTTGTTTTCATGACAAAATTGGTATAATTGAACAAGAAGAAAACAGGACAGAAAAAACATAAAGATTGAGAAAGGACTTCTAACCTATAGATATAGCAGAGATGAATATGAAAAGAGACTATCAGGAGCATCTTAATATATTTGAAAACTTAGACAAAATAGACCATGGTCTAGAAAAATGCAATTTTCTTAAATTGGCTCAAGAAGAAATGACAAGCCATATAGACTTGTTCAATCGTTTGAATAAACCATAATTTAATAATTTTTTATAAAGAGGCCATCTACATTGCATTTACAGATGTTTTACCCCTCTTTCAAGGACCATATTTCAACATTTTGTACAAACTCTTCCAAAGAATAGATACGAAGCTGATTTTGAGGCCAGTATAACTCCTGTTGTACTAGAATCAGACACATTCAGCAGGGGAAAAGAAAATCACAGACTAATAGCACTTATTAACACAGATGTGAAAATCAAAAGCACTATTAAAACACTGAATTCAACATTATCTAAAAAAGGATAATGTATAATGATAGTTAACAGATGTTAAAAATCAGGAACATAACAAGGATGCCTGTTATCAGTTCTATTTATCATTGTCCTGTAGAAAAATGAGCAAAAAACAGAAACTATATATATATATATATATATATATA